CATTGAACAGGGGCTTCTGTGCACTGGCCCCAGGGCCGAGTGCCTGCGTGCCTTGGCCCATCTCATCCCCAAGATGCCTCTAGTCTGATGCTATTATTAGCGCCCCCATTTCCCAGAGGAGGCCTCTGAGGCTCAGAGAAGGGACCCACCTGGGTTCACATTAGGTGAATCTTCTGGAACTGGCTACCAAGAACCGAGGATCAAATGCTCTAAGTGCTTTGCGTGTGTTAACCTGGGGAATACAACAACCCTGTGAGGAGGGGCCGGTTTTGTATTTATTGAACAGATGCGGAGACCGAGCAGAGAGAGGGGTGAATGCCTTGCCCAAGTTCACCCAGCTAGTTAGTGGTGGAGCCAGGGCCCTAACTCGGGCATTTGGCTATAGAGCTTTTAGATACATTGCTCTCCGGCCTGATGATGAAGGTGGTGAGGAGGGGGCGGTAACGGTGTTCCTTCTCAGGACACGGCACACCCCGATGTGCAAAGCTTTTGCACACTTGGCACTTTATGTGCCCTTCAGCCCAGGGAGACGCAGAGATCAAGATTTCCATTTTACAGAGGAGGGTAATCATTGGCCCCAAATCACTCCACAAGTTAGTTGCAGGGTAGGGGCTGGGGCCCCAGCTTTGACGCTCAGGCTCGGGCCCAGCCTGGCCCCCTCTGACTACCTGGACACTTTGAGTTTGTGGCCCACCCTGTCCCCGAGGAAAGGGGCTTTGGGTGCACAGGGTGGGTGGAGAGTTCTGGCTTGCTGTGGGACCTTAGCTTCCTCGTCTGTAAAATGAACGGCCTGGATCCGTTGGGCTCCGAGTACCCTTCCAGCTGAATTCGCTGTCCTTGCTCTGAGAGGTGCTTGGGGACGCAGTGTTCCCTGCTTGCCTTGTTGCCTTCCCCATGATGGCAACCAACTGGCCCCATTTCCCCTGCAGGATATTTTCCCCCACCTGCTGGCGGCCTCCTCCCATCCAGCATGGTTGCCAGCTGCAGGAAGCTGGGGAGAGATGTCCCACCAAGCTCAGAGTGTCCCACTGGCTCAGGAATTGGGGCCTCCTGCTTGATCTGCCTTGTGAGCTCCTACCCCATTCTGCATCGAAACAGAGTAGCTAGTCATCTGTCTGTCTGCCTGTCTGTCTCCCTCTCGAGCAGGACTGTGAGCTCGAGGGCAGAGGTCCCATGGAAAGAGTGGGGCTTGATAAACAGTGAGCTCTCCGGTTCTGGAAACATGCACAGAGGGGCAGGGGGCAGGTTGAAGGGTCCCAGGCCCCTCCAGCTCCTGGCTCTGAGCCCCTGTGGCATAGGAGAGGCCTGGGAGGCTCTGACCTCATGGGCAGCAGGAACAGAACGCAGAGGCACAAAGCCTGCTCTGCTCTATGTGATCCTTGGGCACCGGCGGACCTGAGGGTGGAGCCCTTCGAGAGCCTGGAGCTTCTGCACCGACAGGGTCATCTCTCCACACAGGTCACCCCTGCCACACACACCAGGGAGGCCTCCAAGGGGAGCCACCACCTCACACTTAGACCCATGAGTTCAGCAATGTCCTCTGAGGTCAGCTTGCTCGCTGGCTCAGGAGCTGGCCCGCCCGGAAGCAGCCTTACGCCCCCTCCCTCTCACCTTGTTTGAACCCAAGCCCCTGCTGTGGCTCTGGCCCAGCTCGGTGTGGTACCCAGGCCTCCTCCTGTCACCTCACCCCACCCCCAAAAGCTGACAAGGCAAGGTTATCCTCTCTCTCTGACAGATGAGGAAACTGAGGCCCCAGGGGCATGAGTGTGTGAGTGGCAGTCACAGAGCCTGGCTGGAGGTTCAGGGGCCTTCCTGGTGGCCCGCCCACCCCAGGAGAGTGAAGTCTTCATGTGCAGACAAAAGCAAGACAGCAAGGCCCAAGGAGGGCACAGCTGGGGAGCCAGGGAGGTGGGGAGGGGGACCGTTGGCAACATGTATGTCCAGAGCCTGAGCCAGGGACAGCTATCCTGTCGTAGACCATTCAAATGGTTTGCACCTCCCAGATGCACCGTGTCTTCTCTGGGCTTCCCACGCCTCTCCCTCTACCTGGAACACTTATTCCCTCCCTCGGCCTGGCTAACTCCTACTCTTCAGCTGCAGACAACTCAGCACTTCAACAACTATTTCCTGAGCACCTACAAGGAGGCGGACACTGTCCGAGGTGAGCTGTTCACAGTGAGCGAAAAGAGAATTGTCCCGCCTTCTGGAAGTTTCCAGTCCCCAAGGAACCACATAGAGCTGACATGAAATAGTTGGGATAGACTTGTGGCTGTCATGAGCAGACCCCAAATCAGGCTTCACACAACGAAGGCCTATTTTACAGTCGAGACGGGTGACAGGGGGCTCTGCTTCTGTGCCACCGTCATCCCCTAGCCTTAGAGCCCCCTTGGGTTCTCTGCACTGGGCAGGCCTGTGAGTGAAGAGGGAAGCATCGAGGGCTGGGCGGGGAGGCTTAGCGGTGGGGTGTGGAGGGGCGTGTATGTCACTTCCTTTCATACTCTACTGACCAGAGCTTGGCCACACAGCCACACCAGAGTGCAAGGAAGTCTGGGAAATGTCACCTGGCCGGCACATCCATCCGGGTTTGAACCCAGAATCACACAAACACTGTGTTAGTTTCCTGGGGCTCCTCTAACTATTCCCCGGATTCTGTGGCTTAAAGCAACAGGAATGTGTTGTCTCAGGGGGCTGGAGGCCAGAAGTCTGAGACTGAGGTGCTGGAGGCTCCAGGGGAAGATCCTTCCTGCCTCTGCTGGCGACCACCGGTGGCTGTGGGAGACCCTAGGCTTCCTGGGCTGGTGGTCACACCACTCCACTCTCTGCCTCCGCCTTCACATGGCGGCGTCCTCTGAGTCTTTTCCTTTGTGTGTCTCTTTAAGGAAGTTTCTTGTTGGAGTTAGGCCCCTCCCACCCTGATAATCCAAGATGACTCCTCATCGCAAGGTCCTTAAGTTTTTAAAGATTGTATTTATTTATTAGAGACAGAGAGAGAGAGAGCATGAGCAGGGGGCAGAGGGAGGGGGAGAAGCAGGCTCCCTGCTTGAGCAAGGTGCCCTACGTGGGGCTCGATCCCAGGACCCCAGGATCATGACCTGAGCCCAAGGCACACGCTTAAGCAACTGATCCACCCAGGTGCCCCGGTCGTTAATTTCATTGTGTCTGTAAAGATCTTTTTTCCAGAGCAGGCAAAATTCACAGGTTCTGGGGATGAGAATATGATGTATCTATTTAGGGACCACTTTCGGGGTAGGGTCACCTGGACTCCTTCACATGGCAGCTGGCCTCCAAGAGGCCAGAAACGAAGCTGCAAGGCCTTTTAAGGCCCAAGCTCAGAAGTCCCAGATCATTATTTCCACCGCATTCAATTAGTCCGAGCAGGTCACAGGGCCCACCCAGATTCAAGGGGAGGGAAAATAGAATACCTCTCTGGATGGGAGGTGTGGCAAAGACACAATTCAAGAGGACACACATGCACCATGGGATGGAGGGTTGCAGCCATCTTTGGAAACAACCTATCAGAGTGTGTGTGTGCGTTTTGGTGAAGGCTTCAGCCGAGGGGCCCAGATATATGCTCCTTGATGATGGGGTTGCTGATGAGGCTGAGGTTGAACTGTTCTGCCTGAGTGGGAGCCCCCAAACCCATGAGCTATAGGCCCACCCAGTCATCAACTTACTGGGTGGCCTTGGGCCAGTACTTCATTCATTCAACAACAGCTTACTGAGTACCTAGTGTGGGCTGGACTCTGAGCCAGGCACTGGGGTCCTAGTGGTGAGCAGGCCAGGTCCCCATGGAACCTTCTGTTTTGTGGATGACAAAAGTTCCTAACTGGACAAACTGGTCACAGAGCATGACAAGTAGGAGAACAGCAAGGAGTTGGGCTAGAAAGTCCCTGCAGACACAGAGGCCAGGATGAGCCTTGAGGGCAGAGACCTGGAGGGCGATGAGGACACCTCCCCATTCTGGGCCTCAGTTTCCTCCTCTAGACATCCAGAGGGTTTGCCAGAGCTATGGACTCAAACTACGCTTCCTAGAGTCCTGGGGCTCCCCAGAGGCACCCAAGGGGCTACTGCAGAAGGTGGCCGAGCAGCGGGCATCTGAAATTTGTGACTAGTTGGGCTGGAAGCTTCTGGTCAGCTCCCAGAGTCCAGCTTCCAAGCCAGGCACCCCAGTCTCTGATCCCAGCGGCTGTCCGGAGCAAGATTTCCCCAGGAGCCCTCTTGTTCTTCAGTGGCCCTGTCAGGATTCTGGGCTCTGTGGAAACAGGGTCTGGTTGGACCCTCAGGTCTCCCCACCATCCCAGGACAGACCTTGCACTAGGATGCTTGCAGCTGCCCCCTCACCTTTGACCTTGGGTCTGCTTGAGCCAAGAGAGTCTCAGGGACCCCACAAGAAGTACCACTGTCTCTTAAAGAGCTCAGGCTCTTTGGGGTAAGACCCTCCCTTCTGTGTGGCCTTGGACGAGCCCCTTGCTCTTTCTGGGCCTCAGAGTGAGCCCTGTCTCAGAGTGAGCACAAAGGTAAAGCAAGTCCCCCCAAACTGGCTGGAGGTCAGCACAGGGGGAGGTGGCAATTCCTCTGGGGAGTGAGGTCGAGAGAATTGGCAGGAAAGACCCAGCCTCCTGGGGACCCATGGGGGACCTGCCCCTGGTGCCCCTGCTCCACCATTCTGGCAAATTCTGAGCCAAGCCTTCCCCCCCTGAGGCAAGTTAATCACTAGGCAAATAGTTTACTTCAGCTCAGCAACCTTTATTCCGGTGTTCAGCCCCAAGGTTGGGAGCTGGGTGGGGGTGGGGCCAGGGGTGCCAAAGACAATAATTCCTTCCTTGCTCTGGGCCTCAGTTTCCACCTCTGTCACACAGGGAGGGAAGGCTTCCCCTGCTTCCTTCACTGGGACACTGTGAGGATACAAGTGACCATATATAGGCCTGGGCCTTTCGGCCACAGAGCTCCAGTACTGACGACCTCCCTGACTCAGTCCTTGCCCCTGGGGGGCTCGCTGTCAGGGAGGGAGACCCAAGCCTTGCCCACCACTAGCTGCTGGCAGGTGGGGCATGGCAGGGGGGTGGTGGGCAGGCAATGTGCAAGAGCCTCTCAGCCATGGGTCTGGCTTCACTGAGCTCTGTCTTGGAAGTTCATTACTGGTCTTGTGTGGGGCCCATGCTGTCAATACCCTTACTTCTAGGCAGGTTTCTAAGGCCCTCACACATGTCACTGTCCAGGGGTGCCCCCATGCCCAGAGGGCAGAATCCACCAGGAAACAGAACTGAGCCCCCTTCTTCTTAGCCCTTTTGGGGTCTTTGTGGCGAGCCAGCCTTGGAGTGGAGGGCCAGGGCCGAGGGGCAATCACAGGACCCTCGGGTGAGCTGGTGGCAGAGGCCTCAGCGCACCATGTAAGGAATGCAGGAGCAGTCCACGCAGGGGCGTCCAGGGGGCCACGAAGAGGTAGGTCAGCAGGCATGGCCAACCCATCTGGGTGCAGCAGGGGCCAACACCACTTCCAACATCCTTAGCTGGTGGTGCCCACAGGGGGCTGTGGGGAGGCCGGCCGGCTCAGAGTCACACCAGGGAAGCTGGAGACAAAGCTCTTCCACCTTCTCCTCACCTGCTGGAAGACAAAGGAGAGGGGAGGTCAGGGTCCTGATCTGACAACTATGCGGTGGGCTTCAGTGTTGTTCCAGCTATTGCCACGAGGTGGTGGTAGACCCCAGAGACAGGAGCACGTTTTCTCCTAGGATAAGGAGGCCAGGCCGGCCGGGACCCAGCAGCTCCCACCAAGGGGGTCAGGATGCCCCCTTTCCTGGGGCAGAGGAACACAAGATATAACGCTGGGGAAGTTTTATTGGCTGATCTCCTTGCCTCCAGCGAAATCCACCCATCCAACACATTGCCAGATGAATCATTTTAGAACAGCTCTGGCCATATCACCAGCCCGCTCTAAAGCTTTCCATGACTCCCCAGTGCCTGTGGGGTAAATCCCAAATGCCTTTTGGGTCCCCGCAAATATGGTACCTGGATACCTCTCTTTCCAGACCCGTCTCCAGACAGCTCTGCTGTCTTCTTGGTCCTTGGCCCCATATGTTTCTACCTCTGAGCCTTTGTAGCCACTCTCTGTGGAGTCCACACCCTCCTCCTCCATCCATCAACCTTCAGCCAAACCTGTTGATACTGCTTCAGCCACCGCTGGCCGTCTCCTCGCTGGGCTTGGATCAGCTGCTCCGTGTCCTCCGGGCCCCCTGGCAGCCACTCCTGACCGGGCAGGTCCAGCCTTTCTGGGCCTCCGACTGAGGGCCTGGACTCCTCATGCCCATGTCTGAGGCTCAGCACCCGGTGCAGTCGGCTCTCTAGAGGCTTCCCCCAGGGCTCCTGGAGTTTGCTGTAGGTGGGCCGTGGTCCTCGCAAGGACTGGCTGCGTGGGCCTATCCCCATGGTTCTTGAGGCTGCGAGCACGGGACTGCTACAGCTCCTCGGCAAGCCAGTGGCTTCTGAGATGGCCTGGAGTCTCCCCTCATGTGATGAGAACTTACTTGGGGGCAAAGGTTGGTACTGCTGAGGTGGCCATCATAAACCAAAGGGCAGGCCACAGGGGACAAGCATCCCTGAGTCAGCGTCACCACTGCTTCTCTCTACCTTCTAGGGTAAGGGGTACAGGTCTCTTCCTCCTGCTCCTTCTCCTCTTCCAGGCAGCCTTCCCTGATCTCCCTACCCCTGAAGCACTTGGCCTCCCCTGAACTCCTACAGCCCGGGATGCCCAAATTCATTCTGTTGACACCGAGAACAGATGGCGCAACAGCAAAACAGAGATGGGCTTTTAAGAAACAGGACAGCTCCATTTTTTTGTCCGACATCTTAGTGAGGCTGTAAGTGTGGCTGCTGATCTCTGAGCTTCACGATGCCTCCCAAGGACAACAAGAAGAAAGATGTGGGAAAGTCAGTCAAGAAAGGTAAAGACCTAGTGAGCAGATCTGGGGGCAAGGCCAAAAAGAAATGGTCCAAAGGCATGGTTCGAGGCACACTCAATGACCTAGTCTTGTGGGTGGTTGGGCGCCTGGATGGCTCAGTTGGTTAAGCGACTGCCTTCGGCTCAGGTCATGATCCTGGAGCCCCGGGATCGAGTCCCACATCGGGCTTCCTGCTCAGCAGGGAGTCTGCTTCTTCCTCTGACCCTCTTCCCTCTCGTGCTTTCTATCTCTCATTCTCTCTCTCTCTCAAATAAATAAATAAAATCTTTAAAAAAAATAAAAAATAAAAAAAATGACCTGGTCTTGTGCAACAAAGCTACATATGACAAACTCTTTAAGTTCTCTAAGCGTAGGGGCGCCTGGGTGGCTCGGATGGTTGGGCGTCTGCCTTCGGCTCAGGTCGTGATCCTGGGGTCCTGGGATTGAGCCCCACATCGGGTTCCCTGCTCAGTGGGGAGCCTGCTTCTCCCTCTCCCACTCCCCCTGCTTGTGCTCTCTTACCCTCTCTGTCAAATAAATAAAATCTTAAAAAAAAAGAAAAGTTCTCTAAGCGTAGAACCCTAGCTGTTGTCTCTGAGAGAAGATTCAAGGTCCCCTGGCCAGGGCAACTCTTCAGGATCTCCTTAGTAAAGGACTTATTAAACTAGTTTCAAAGCCCAGAGCTCGAGTCATTTACACCAGTAACACCAAGGGAGGAGATGCCCCTGCCGCTGGCGAGGATGCGCGCACAGATCCCACCAACCATACATCCTGAAAAAGAAAACTTTGTTAAATTAAAAAAGAAAGAAACAGCATGGCTGCAGCCTAGAATAGTCAGACTCACAGAGACAGAAGGTAGCGCGGTGGGTGAGGGGCCGGGGGGGAACGGCCATAGCGCTTCAGTCCTGCAAGGTGACAACGTTACAGAGATTGCTTGAACAACACTGTGAATGTATGTAACGCTACTGAATTACACATAAAAATGGCTACATGGCTAAATTTTACGTTTCTGGATATTTTACTGCAACTGGACATTATTCATTAGCTGAGACGAATCCCTTCCCCTTCTTGCTCAATCTTGTCAGCCGCAAAATGGGTCGCTGTGAAAATCCAATGAAATCATGTATGTGGAAGAGCAAGATGGCCAGCAGCAGCTCTTTCAACCTCATGCTAGTCCTATTAGGTGGGCATTGTCATCCCCATCTTCTAGATGGGGAAACAGAGGCTCAGAGCTGAAGCACTTGGCATGAGGGCATGTCCAGTAAGTGGCGGAGCTGGGACTCGCTCCTTGGTCAGAACCCATGCTGCGGACCACTCCATTCCCCTGCTCTGGTATTGGTGGCTGAGGTAGGACCCAGAGCCGGGCGTCCTCCTCTGTGACCCCTGTCTGGGGTCAGGGACATTCTGGCTGCAACTCTCGGCTCATCCCTGACCTCTCCCCAGGCCTGGCCTGGCTCTCTTTCCTCTCTCTCTCGGAGTTGCTAGGCCTTCCCTGGGTGAAGGGTCTTGTCATATCCTCCAGGCTCATCTCCCAGCCAGAGAAGCTAAGGCAGGGCCGGTGTGCAGAGGAGCATGGAGAAGAAGAGCCTGACGCTCTGCCCCAGCCTGTCCCAAAGTTGGACTGTGACCTTCAGGCAGGCCTCTTCACTCCAACCCTGACCACACCTCTAATGTCCAACCCACAGGCCAACCCTGGTCCTGGTTGAAAGGCAGCAGAGCCTGAGGGCGTCAGCACCCCCCCCCCCCCGCACAGTGGGCTCAAACCCACATTCTCAGTGAAACCTGGTCTGGGAAGAGTTTGCTGACTCAGACTTCTGGGACGTGCTGTGGTGAATCACTGACTCTTGTGTCAAGCGTATAGCTGCCCGATTTCCTCCCGCCAAGTGTGTAATCTTACAACCTCCCAAATCCACGGAGGACAAGGAGATGTGTGTTCTCTTCTGAAGCTGCTGTGCTCGGTGATAAGCTCCCCTTAAGTCCATCTGTCCCCTCTGCACGGGTGAGGGAGGCAGCCCCCCTCCAGTCCCCCGCCCCCATAAACACAGTTTAAACACAGCAATTGTTGCAGGATGTTTTTTCTCCATTGGTGCCCGCGGTTCTTGGTCATGCCACTTCGAAGAATGAAGAGGTAGACCAGACAGAGTGGTGGGCAGCAAAGCAAGGTTTATCGAGCCATTTATTGAGTGATAGCAAAAGTGATAGTCAAAGCTCCTAAGGAGGGAGGGGACCCTAAGGGGTTGCCCCCGGAGTTTCTTTTTTTTTTTTAAGATTTTATTTATTTATTTGAGAGAGAGAATGAGATAGAGAGAGAGAGAGCATGAGAGGGGGGAGGGTCGAGGGAGAAGCAGACTCCCTGCTGAGCAGGGAGCCCGATGCGGGACTCGATCCCGGGACTCGAGGATCATGACCTGAGGCGAAGGCAGTCGCTTAACCAACTGAGCCACCCAGGCGCCCACCCCCGGAGTTTCTAAGTCTAGGGGTTTTTATGGGCTTGTTGGCGGGCTGTTTTCATCTGATGGACACTCCCTGCGCTGGTCGTCAAATCAGGTTTTTGTCACCTATCTATCATATGGGAAAGGGTGGAGGGCTCCTTCCAGGGCAGTATAAAATCCTTTTAAGGGTGGTTTCCTCTTAGGGTGGAGGTTGGGGGGGGAGGGGCCTTGTCCTTGACTGCCTGCCTTCCAGTCCCTGCCTGCCTGCCTTCCAATTACCCTTCATCACAATCACACATGTATGCCTCCCCTACGCCCCCCGACACTGGGTGTCTCTTGAAGGCTTTTCATCTCTGTGTTTCCAGAACACAACATAGTAAATACTCTGTCTTAAATATTGGAGACTATTCATTGTCTATTGCTGGCTAAAAAAATTACCCCAAAACTTAGTGGCTTAAGGCAACATTCATGTACCACCTCACAGTTTCTGTGGGGCAGGAATCCAGGCCTGGCCGAGCGCGGCCTCTGGTTCAAAGTCCCTCACAGGCTCCAATCAGGGGCCTGCAGCCATCTTAAGCTCCGGCTGGGGGGAATCTGCTTCTAAGGTCACTCGGATGGTTGTTGGTAGGACTCAGTTCCTTGCAGGTGGAGGGCCTGAGGGCCTCAGAGCCTCAGTTTCTTGTTGGTTGTTGGCTGTTGCCACATGAGCCTCTCCCAAGGGCAGCTCACACCATGGCGCCTGGCTTCAGTTGGAGCCAGCAAGTAAGAGGGCCAAGAGACGGTGGGCAGGCAGAAGCCAGAGTCTTCAGGGAACTCAGTCTCAGAAGTGACCTCCCATTGCTTTTGCCGTTTTCTGTCCCTTCTAGGGGAGTCACCAGGTCTAGTCCCCACTCCAGGGAGAGATCCCCACAGGGCTTGAACACCAGGAGGTGGGATCCTTGGGGGTCATCATGGAGGTACTTACCCACAGACCAGGATTTTATTATTATTATTATTTTTTAAGATTTTATTTACTTATTTATTTGAGAGAGAGAGAGAGAGAACGAGAACAAGCAGGGGGCGGTGCAGAGGGAGAGGGTGAAGCAGACTCCCCACTAAGCAGGGGGTCCGATGTGGGGCTTGATCCCAGGACCCTGGGATCATGACCTGAGCTGAAGGCAGACGCTTAACCGACTGAGCCACCCAGGCACCCCTTGTTATTTTAAAAATTTCTTATTTATTATTTTAAAAAGATTTATTTATTTACTTGAGAGAGAGAGAGAGAGAGAGAGTGTGTGTGTGTGTGTTTGCGTGCGCATGCCCAAGCAAGCATGAGCAGGGGGAGAGGCAGAGGGAGAGAAATCCCCAAGCAGACTCACCATTGAGCACGGAGGACTCCATCCCAAAGCCCTGAGATCATGATCCAAGCCGAAATCAAGAGATGCTTAAACAAGTGAGCCACCCAGGTGCCCCAGATTTGTATTTTAAACCATCATGCTGCCTGAGTTTAGAGCCTGGCACTTCTATGTGATAGCTCTGTGCTTTGAATGAGTGGCTTACCCTCATGTGCCTATAATTTCTCAGCTACAAAGTGGAGAAAATACCTTATTTCATCAAACCTAAGGTGGTGTTGATGGAAAGGTAGCATTAATTCACACATCATTAAGAAAGAATACTTGAGGAATGCCTGGGTGGCTCAGTTGGTTAAGTGTCTGCCTTCGGCTCAGGTCATGGTCCCAGGGTCCTGGGATCAAGCCCCGCATTGGGCTCCCTGCTCAGGGGCGAGCCTGCTTCTCCCTCTCCCTCTGCTGTTTCCCCGTCAAAAAAAATAAAAAAAAATCTTAAAAAAAAAAAAAGAAAGAAAGAATATTCGGGGTGCCTGGGTGGCTCAGTCAGTTAAGTGTCTGCCTTAGACTCAGGTCACTCCCCCCCTGCCAATTTGTGCTCTCTCTCTCTCAAATAAATAGATAAAATATTTTTTAAAAAAGTACTCATTGGGGCGCCTGGGTGGCTCAGATGGTTAAGCGTCTGCCTTCAGCTCAGGTCATGATCCCAGGGTCCTGGGATCGAGTCCCGCATCGGGCTCCCTGCTAGGCGGGGAGCCTGCTTCTCCCTCTGCCTCTGCCTCTCTCTCTCTCTCTC